CAGGGCCAGGGCCAGGGCCAGGGCCAGCCCCTCTTGGTGGAGTTCTCTTCTCTCTGAGGTAAGTTCTTTTCACCCCACAGGGGGCAGCCGGAGCAGGGAGGGCAGCCAAGGACTAGGTGGGGACAACAGGAGACACACTTCTCCCTGGCACTGGCTGTGTGAAGGATGGGTCTGCAGAAAGGGCTGCTGACTCACTTGAATTGCTCTGGGCAGCAGGCCCAAGGTCAGGGGCAGGAAGCCCAGTGTTGGCGACAGATTGTAATCACAGAGCCGCCCTGGGACAGTGCTCGTGGTTTTGTACAGGACTGGTAACCTGGTGCTTGGAAATAAGCACACAACTTTACCGAGCATGTATTCCAACCTCACAGCCCTGAGAGGAGCGTGTTCACATGCTCCCGACGATGTAAGGAGCTCAGAAGGGTCAAGTGGCCCATCCGAGGTTGCTGGAGCTTCTGTGCTGCTTCAGAGGCCCAGGAAGATGCCTTCCTGACTAGCTTGTCCCTTTAGGGGTTAGCTGTTTCATTTATTTTGGGGCAGGTAGCTGTTTTAGATGGATGTCTCATGTCACTGGGTGGGGTTGGGAGAGGCACCTGGCAGGATGGCTGGGAATCTAGGAGGCAAAGAAGTCACGAGCAGCAACTGGCATGAAATCCTGTGGGTATTTGATCTCCGTATTTCCTTCATGGGGACACTGGTGTGTGTGGCAATGGTTAGTGTTCGCTGATGATAAAATTCAAAGCCTTAAGCTCAGAAAGTGTACTGTGGGACTGTCTTGTGATTACTGAAGGGCTGAGGGAAAGGAAGGGGTGTGCCTTGTATAGAGAAGGCTGTAGACATCTGGGTGCAGCTGGGTACCAGGGCCCTTCATTGTGGTTAGAATGGGGTCATGGTAAGGCCATGTTTGCTGCCTTGAGGGGGTGGGACTCCTGTCAATGCTTAAGTTGAAGTTGGTCTTTTCAAATGAACCAAGGTGGTTACACATTGGTCCTCGATCTGCATGGCCAGCAGTTTGAAACCACCAGCAGCCTTGCGGGAGGAAGACGAGTGGCTTTCTACTGACATAAACAGGTTCCGTCTCGGAACCTCACAGGGGGTCGCTATGAGTCAGCATTGACTCCATGGCAGAGTAGCCAGCATGTTCCTGCCAGCTAAGAGGGCATAAGCTGGCCCCAAGCCCTCACCCCCAAATCCTTGTCATCAAGTTGACTCCAGCACAGAGCAATCCTATAGGACAAAGTGGAACTGCTCCATCGGGTTTCCAAGGGCGCTGCTGGCATCATGGCTACTAGTTGGACTGTGATCCAAAAGGTCATCTGCAAGGTCAACAGTTCAAAACCACCAGCGGGAGGAAGACAAAAATGTTTACTCCCATAAAGAGCTACAGTCTGGGAAGCTCATGGGACAGTTCTGCCCTGTCACATAGGGTTGCTGACTCAGCATCGGCTCTACGACAGGGACTTTGGTTTGGGGTTTGGAATCTTTACGAGAGCACATTTGCTGTATCACACTCAAAATCTTGTTTTTTGAAAGGAAAAATTATTCCCGAACTCAAGGCAGAAAAATAATTCATTTCATGACTGTGGACTGTGACCCCTGAGGTCTAGGAGTTCACGGAAGAGTTGTAGATGGCTTTGATCCAGGGCCAGGGAGCCATCTGTCTTCAAGGAAGATAGCTAGCCTAAAGGCCAAACCACGCTCATTTTCATCAGAAAGAAAAATGCGAAGTGCCTTCTTTGGAGAAATTTGCATTGCTGGTTCACTGCTGAGAAATGTGTCAATGTCATTAATAGTAGCCCTGGGTTTTTAAATTGTGATCTGGAGACTTCCAGAGACCCATGAAATCTGTTACAGTCCTGGGGGAGATGCATTAGGAACTCGACGTTTCTAATCGATATAGAAAAAATATAAATGATGTTTCTTGCCTTTCCCACTGATATGAAATCAACTAGAGCACTTTTCTTTGGTGGTTATTGTGGCTGTTGTTTTAAGGTCCTTTGTATCGCTCTTAGAAATAGTTCTGGAAGGTCGCAACATCCTTGCTCCCCTGCAAGCTTCTTGTGGGGCAGGAATCACCTAGCACTATTTGCTGACACAGACGGGCACCCCAGGATCGGATAAAAGATGAGTGCGTTGAACTGATCGGCTGGAGGTGGCAGGCTTGCTCCTCCCCAGGGGTACCCGAAAAGAAAGGTCTGATATAAACCCAGCTGTGGCAAACCTTGCCGAGCACAGTTCTACTGTGGTACACATGGCCTTGCCAGGAAGCAGAATACTCTTGGAAGCAGCCATAGGGAAAATGGTTGTGCAGGTTATGAAATTTAAGGCACGCCTCCTTCCTGCGTTTGTATATGCGATTTGGCCCAATGTGACTTTGTGCACTGACGCGGCCACTGCTCCCTGCTCTGTGCACGCGGGGAGCGGGCAGAAGTGCTCAAATGCTCCCATCAAAGACGCGCCCACGTCTCCATCCAGAGGGAGCTTGTTTGTGTCATTGGTCTGCCGCTGTGGCGCAGCCGCAGGAAAGATGGAACCAGGTCCCTGAAGTGCATGGCCAAGTATTCAGTCAACATCTATCCGATCCTAATGAAAATCTCCGTCTTCACGTGCACGGGCCTTGCTAGGTCTGAATCGCTGCACGCCGCTTGCTCAGCCAGGTTGCTCGAGGCTTGCCAAAGAGGCAAGAGGCGCCACGTGGCCATGGCCGGCTACACCACAGCCGGCCCAGGACCTTTCCCATAAACTGGCTCATGTGGCCATTGCCACCTTCCTGGCCCACTGGTGGCGCTGGGAGGACACTGACACACCGCATGCCCTGCTCTTAGATCAAACAAGAGCAGCCCCGAGTGGTCAGGTCTTGTGGTCCCACCGATAGCTGCTCGTGGGTCCCAGGCAAGGTTAGTTTTAATCTTCCGGTTTTGTGTGATGATTGCATAGAACTGAAAACGTGCCATGATTTCAAGGAGCAAATTCATTTTTATTAAGAGTTTTAATATTTTTAAATGTATGGATGTTTGCTGTATTTCAGAGAAAGACTTCAGGGGTGGATTGGCTACAAATTAGTATCTGTGTGACAGTCAGATGTTCGTGTTCCCTTTTCAAAGTCTTCAGGGGCTCCCAGAGGCGTGGTTCTTAAACGACAGAGCCTTCGCTTGTGACGCTGCCATGAGCTTTCCCAAGCCCTCATGTTTCAACGGAAGTCAGTATTCATGGGACCAAAATGTTAGTTTCTTGAGGGATGAGGTTTAAACCAACCTTAACATAGCGAATGGAGCCCGGGCGGCTTACCAGCTTGGCTGGGACCTCGAGTAAGCAGTTGTAAACCGCTAGCTGCTCCAAGGGAGAACGACGGGAGGGGCTTTCTCCTCCCATCGGTTCCTTTTGGGAGCCCCCGGGGGCATTTCCCCGCTGTCTGACACGGTCACTCCAAGGCAGAGCAGCAGTGAGTATTCTGCATGTGAACCAAAACCGTGCACGCGATCTGCTCCACTGGTGGGTCACCATTGCCCCGGTGTTCTCGGTCATTCGGTCCCTCCCACCACCTCCACTTAGACTCTTTGCCCCCCTAATTGGTTTACATTTATTTGGATTGATGGGTTTCTTTCTTTAAAAAAAATTGAGTTTAAAAATGGATTAAATAAGGCAATTTTGAGTAAGTATTCCACCCCCAAATTAAAACAGATTATATCATATATTGTGTTGCATTGTAGGTTTGGTGTTGGGTTGCTAACCATGAGGTCAGTAGTTCAAGCCCACCAGCTGCTTCATGGGAGAAAGGTGAGGCTAGCTGCTCCCATAGAGATTGATAATACTCAGTCTTAGAAACCCTGCATGGGGTTACGAAGTACTCGAGTCCGGGTGATAGCAGTGCTTCACTTTTGCGTTGATGTCAGCTATATTGCTTTATGAAGTGTTATTTAAGTTTCCATAATTATTAAGTTAAAAAAGAGTGGGAAACTAAGAATTTCTATGTTTCGAGTAAAACTTCATAGCGACCCCACAGGACGGGGCAGAATTGCCCCTATAGGTTTCCAAGACTGTAACTCGTTATAGGAGTATAGATGAGAGAAAACCTCGTCTTTCTCCGGCAGAGGCTCGGTGGTTTCAAATGGCTGGCCTTGCAGTAGCAGCTCAACTTGAAACCCAGGCGTCAGAAGTGACTAGACGGCAGTGTTAGGGTTTTTGTTATGGGTTGTTTTGGGAGGTGGGGGCTTGAGGGGGGTGGATTGGGAAGAGGAACCTGCTTATTAAACTGTATGAAGCTTCTTACAATGAAGTAAAATTTGGCATATGGCTTAGGTACTGCTGATTGTCTTTTACCATTTTCCTTAAAGTCTCCAAGATATCAAAGTTGCCTCAGAATTAATACTGGTGAAGCGGCTTGGGCAGTTAATTTACCTGTAACTCAGGGCTCTGGTTCTTCGTGGCTCATAAGCACGAAGGCAGTGCGTGGCCAGACCACTGCTACTCAGAGTGACCGCACAGGGGGGCAGCACTGCTGTCTCGGGTCTCGGGGGCTGAAAGTAGCTCTTTCATGGAGCAGCGGGTGGTTAGCAACCCCACACTTAACCCACTGCAGTAGGGCTGCTGGTTCTCAGAGAAGAGGGGCCTTCATAACAGATGATGTCATTTTCCAATAAGCTTTTTAAAGCACTGCCCCCCCCCTCCCCCCAGTCCAGGTCAAGCTTTCTCAATTGGGGAACTCAAGCCAGATGCCAACTTAGGTAAGAGAAGGGCCCATCAGCTTGCTTTCATTCCGGGGAATCAATCTCTCTTTCTCTCTCTCTCAAACAGTGACTAAAACCAGTCTGATGTTTTCTTTGAAAATAGCTAATCTATGAAAATTGGGAGCAAAAAAATGGTATTTCTAGCAATTCAATTACACTTTTTCTTTCACTTTGAGGTATTCCAGTTCAAGTCTGGATGAAAGTGTTGAGGAAGAAAAATGCGGCCTCTTCAGGTTGCAGTATACTCAGAGAGAGAATGCCAACGTTAACTCCAAGTTCACAACATACAAAGGATTTATTTATGCAATACAGACCTTTTCTCAAGTGTTTTTCACAGAATCTGCACGGCAACCTACTAGAAAAGTAGAAGGTATACAACACCGAAATAACATTATTTCGTAGTACAAATTGCTAATCAAAAGGAAGGGGAGATAGTTTAATAACAAATAAAAGTAGAATGGGTGTTGCTTAACACAGCACCTGGTAGCCTCTCTCCCGGGACCCAAGTCCGCTGGCCCTCAGTCAGTCAACCCTCAGGGCTGAGCGCTGGGACTTGTGTGCACTTTACAAGTGAAGCAAAGGTTGTATTCAACAGTATCTCCATCCTCGCATTTTGGTGTACTATAAAGGGGGGAAATTGTAGACATTTCACACCTGCTATAACATTAGAGTCTTTACGTTAACCACACAATAAAACAACCTCCCTCAAACCATAATTTCTAAAACATGCTTAAACAATTAATATTGATAGAAATAATCCATTGAGATATTTTTAAATTACATTTACCATAATTTTAACATTCAGAATTTAAATCCCATTAGTTTTCAGTGCTGAGGAAGTACATTGTTTTGGAAAAAATCACAGTGCCCCAAAGTACAGCATAAAATCCCCCATCCCTATATCGTAACCCACTTCCCTATTATTAAAATCATGAATTTCCTCAAGATTACAGATACATGGGAAATGTGGGGTTGTTTTTTTTCAGAATATAGATAGATTTAGTGGGTTTTCATACCTCATTATAATTCCATAATTGGTGAAAATAGACTTCTCATTAGGACTAAAAATATAGATTTTTTTTAAAACTACAGAACCCAGCAGCCGGTTTTCTGCTTTGCTGTTATTTCCCCCCACCCCCAAAGTCAAGCAAAATCTACAAAAATAGCAATTAACTTTAAAAAATATTTTGCTTCTTAGAGCAAATTTAAGTTACATTCAGATGTAATAGCTATTTCTAAGAGAACGATGCTGGGGAAGTTCCCTGTCCGGTGCCAGGGCAGGGCTGTGGTGCTGTCGCCTCAGTAGCGGGTTTGGTATTCGTGATGCCACCGGTTAAAGTCGTTATAGAAGAGTACGATGCTTCCGGAGGCCATGCCGGAAATGATGCACCTGGGGGGGGGCGGCGGGGGGGAGCACAGAGCAGAAGAAAGGTTTACAAGCCTGGTCTTTATCCTAGAGATCTCTGCCCTAGGTCCAGGTCTACAAGGTAAATAGAGAAGATGGTGGCAAAGCCAGCATTTTTGGGAACCAAGGGTTTTAACATTTCAAAACCTTCTCATTGTGCATTGGATGAAGATTTACAGACTGTCCGTTTGGCATCCAATGATTCGCACATATTCTGTTTCGTCTCATTGACTGCAATCTCTCAATGCAACATCACCCATCCCACCTCTCCCCGCCTAACCCTGCCCCCTTGGCCCAAATGGCTAATTCCTCTAAGGCAGGGGCCCTCAAACTTTTTTAAAAGGAGCCCAGTTCACTGTCCCTCAGATCCGTTGGAGGGCCGGACTAGAGTTTAAAAAAAACCCCAACTATGAACGAATTCCTATGCATACTGCACATATCTTATTTTGAAGTAAAAAAACAAACGGGGCAAAAAACACCTGGCGGGGCCGGATAAATGTCCTCGGCGGACCGCATGTGGCCCACGGGCCATAGTTTGAGGACGCCTGCTCTAAGCTGTGCACACTTTAATAGTATTACTGTTCCCCTTGCAGATCTTATTTGGCTGAAAATTGAGCAACAGGGGTGAGTTCAGTTCCAGATCCAAAGGACCACTGCCTGACCGGCAGGCCTGGCCTCGCTCACGATGTGAGTTTTGCTGGATGTGTACCTCCTCCTCAGGATCTTCCCGTGCCTCCCTTTCAGAACAGCTGATCGCTGAGCGGTCACTCCTTCTTGTGGTCGAAAGGTTGTGAAAACCGGTGGTCACATTGGTCCACTGGATCAACTGTCCCCATTTGTCTTCAGTTTTCTTACGTCTTTTTCCCTCCAGATGGGAGAAATCAATGGCTTTTAAAACCCCAATTGCTACTCACCAAAGGATATAGACTATGTTATGCCAATTGACCTTGGTATCTTCTGAGACTGTGGCCCTGCGCCTGCAACCTCATTTCCCTATTGTGCCTGCTTATGTACAAGAAGTTTACATCACTTTGCCCCCTGGATGCTTCACCACATATAATACCACTTTCTCCCACCTGCTCACCCCTTGTGTCTATAACAGCATTTCCATCTGATGCCTTTAACCCTTGAACTCCTTTCCAGTATTTCCCCCCACCTCCAACACTCTTACTGTAAACTCCCTTCTCCCTCACCCAAGTTCTTGAAATGTACTTAATTTTCTTGTCACCTGGAAGTTCTGTAACTAATCTGTCCCCATCACAAATTGATATTATTTGGTTCTGTATTTTCAGTTTTGTAGCTGTTTTTGAACTTTGGCTAGTTCTATATCTCCCCCCATGGAACTGTCAGTCTGTCCGACTGTGGTGGCTTGTGTGTGGCTGTGATGCTGGAAGCTATGTCACGGGTGTTTCAAATACCAGCAGAGTCACCTAAAGCGAACAGGTTTTAGCAGAGCTTTCTGTCTAAGAGCAGATTACAAAGAAGAATAAGCTGCCCACCTCTGGAAAATACTGGGTAGTGTGTTTCATTGTTGTACATGGGTTGCCCTGAGTTGGAACTGACTTGATAGTACCCAACTTTTATATGTGGGTTGACTTCTGGGTAGCACTGTCATGCATGTCCATCTCAGGTTACTCTCTGCCATTGTTGGTTCTCTGTCCCTTCCTTCTTGTGAAAGTTGGTCTGGGTTTTTCAAACCCCCTTAACTTCTGTTTATCTGGAAATGTTCCAGTTTTCCTGGGTATATAATTCTTGTTTGGCAGATTTTTCTTTGAGCTTTATGCTATCCCATTGTCATCCTGCTTGTGTGGTTTCAGCTGACAATCATCAGCTTAGTTCTCCTTTGTCAGAAACTTTTCCTACGTCTGAGTTACTCCCAGGATTCTTTCTTGTCTTTTGTTATGGGGTTTGATTATGATTTTCTTTTGGGGTCTGTCCTGCTTAGGGTTCAGTTTCTGAAATCCTTGACTTCTCCTCTTTCATGCTGTTTGTTTTGGATGTTTTCTTCCAACAACCCTTCAATTTTCTCTGTGCTTTAAAAAATATTTTTTTGTCTTGATGATTCCTCTAGCACAGTGGTGCTCAACCTTCCTACTGCCGCGACCCTTTCATACAGTTCCTTATGTTGTGGTGACCCCCCAGCCATAACATTATTTTTGTTGCTACTTCATCACTGTAATTTTGCTACTGTTATGAATAGGAATACCTCTATGAAAGGGTCATTCGACCCCCAAAAGGGTCACGACCCATAGGTTGCGAACCACTGCTTCAGCAGTTAAGCTCACTAACTAGCTGGACCTTCCATTGATTTGATTCCTTGGCCCTTTTAATGTGTTATCTTTTAGAGCTTCCAGATTTCTATTTGCTATTTTTATAGTATATTCCTGAATACTCCATCTTTCAATGTGTCAACAGTACTTAAATATCATTCTTTTTAATTCCTTACCAGGGAGTTCATGAGAACTGAAATTTGAGACTTTGAAATTGCCTCTGAGACCTTGCGATATGTTGTATTTCATCGATGACTGTCTAGTGGTATTTTCTTAGGACTCGCCACCTGTCTCCTAGCGGACATGATAGCGAATGGGTGCGCAGTCATCTGTTGATGTAATTCATGGAGCACAGTTGAGAATGGGTTCAGATGGCTAGGTTGCTGTCTCCCATAGGGTGGGGCAAGGAGACAAAAGGAATGATCGGCAAAGAGCAGCAATAAAGAGAGAAAGAAAAACTGAAAAGAAGAGGGGAAAACAAAACAAAGCAAGAAAATGGTCTTAGATGGAATGCCTACAACCCAGCACCTATGTTGTCTGAGGTCAGGGCAGCTGGTTATGGAAGGAGTTATTTGCTGGGGTGGCCATGGACCCACTCCTCAAGAGCAGAGCCCAGCTAGCTTGTTGCTAGCTCCTGCTATGCCAGGCCCCTGTCTTGATTCAATGCTTGCTTGTAAAAGTTTGGGATGGCTGTGTCACGTCAAGCCAGCTGACAATTCACCCATCTGGCTCCTCTCTGGCCACTTTGTTCAGCTTCTTTCCCTAGTTGGTGTTTACATCTCAGTTCTTTCCTCTGAAGCACAGCAGTCTCAGATGCTCATCCGTATGTCATTTGTTTGGTCTCTCATGTAGGGATCTGCCTAATTTGCTGAAGTCCTCTCCAAGTACAGTTCTGCGGAGTAAAATGTCATCCTGAGGAAGCTCAGAGTGTGTCTCCTTCTGGCACTTGGTGAGGACCTAAACCCCAGCTTGCTTTCTCACTGTAAGATCAGTCACACAGGAGAAGCCACTAGAGCTCGGGCAGCCTCACTCCTTTCTAAGTGGGTTGCGCAGGAGAAACCCGTCCTTGTTATCAGGCATCAGAAGCAAAGAATCACAGTCTGAGTATCTGCTTGGGAAAGAAGCAACACACAATCAAGTGACGTATCTGCCCTGCAGGTAAGCAATCTACAAAGAGCAAGAAAAGCAGACAGAGGATTGGCCACATAATTTGGACTGGGCCATCCTCTTCAGTGCCCCTTACGGTATGGGTAGAAGCCTAGTCCTCAACACAGTGAGGTACTGAATGACATCACAGAGCTGCTCCTGTCCTTGAGAAGGTGGCAGTAGGGTCAGAGACAGAAAGGGTAGAGGGCCAGATGGGGGGTGTCTCCCCTGGAGTTGTTCTGAGGCTGAGTCCTTGTGCTGAAGGGCGGGCTCAGTATCCGCCTTTCGAGGCGAGATCATAGTGTGCTTCCTGCCCCTCACAGTCGAATGAGGGGTTGGAGTAAATGTGGTACCAGACAGTGCTCCCTGCCTCCCCATTTCACCTCTGGGAAGGGAGGGGGGGTTGGGGAGAGGGGCTTGTCTACGAAGTAAGTCAGGATGGTTGAGTCCTTGGGGCCAGAGATGAGGGCATTTTACATGAAACACATCTACGGCTCTTCTATTTTTGTTTGAATAGGTCCATTAATGTAAAGCTTTTTGCAGCAATGCAGCCCTGTGAGCCATCAAATCCCACTCTTCAAACATTTCACCTGTGCCCAAGAATATTCTCAAGGGAATTCTTGGGAGCCCCCACATTTCAGTGGATCTTCTGTATACCACTCTGAGCAACGAGTCCCAGCTTACCTCTGGTCATAGGACAGGGCCATGGCCCGGATCCCGGCGTCACAGCCTGGGTAGGCGAACAGCTGCTTGAGGTCCGATACCCGCCACACCATGACCACACCATTGTCTCCTCCCGTGAGCAGGTACTGCCCATCCCGGCTCAGGTGCATGGCCTGCAAGATACAGCAACGCTCAGGGGAGCTCCCACCTGTGGCTGACTGGGCCTGCATGGTGGCAGCCACTGCCGTGCAAGGAAAGGAGAAGCTGCGTGTGCTCCGGAGGAGTCTGTGAGGGACCTGGAGTCCTAGAAGGCCTGCTGTTCTTTCCAGACTTAAATGGAAACGGGCAATCTTGAGCTTGTTTATTTTAAGGATGAGGAGGCAGGCTCTTCCGGTTCTACAGATGCTAGCTGTGTGGGCCTGAGCGGCCTCCGGACCCCCTTCCCCCAGTTCAACTGTAGATATGCGTGCCCAGGCCATTTTGTACCACAGCCGGGCTGACCTCCCCTCGCCAACGGCACGTGGCTGCCTTGGGGGCCAAGACCACCAGGCGTCGCACTCTACCCCCAGTTGCAGTGGGTTGGTGCAGATCTCCCTTGCAGCGGTCTCCGGCTTGGCTTCCCCGGGCACATAAAACGGGGCCTTGCAAGCCCATAGGGCGAACCCTGAGCACCACCTCTTTCCTTGTCAGTATGGTGCTTTGTATATTTCTAAATGGTTGGGGAAAGTATTTCATGACACGTGGAAATTATGGGACCTTCACATGCCAGTGTCCATAAATGGTTTGACTGGCACCGAGCCACCCCGCTCACTTATGGCTGCCCTGGGAGCAGTTTAACGGGCTCTGTGGCCCCCAAGGCCCGAACTCTCCGTTTCTGTCCTTACACGAAGAGAAAAAGGGCACCTCCTCTTCCACAAGCCAGGCCTCCTGCCCCTCCTCACGGGCCCACTCTCCCAGCGCGTTACTGAGGCCCCTCCAGCTGGGCCCCCCTCACCCTCAGCGCAGGGCGGGGTGGGGTGCTAGTTTAGATAAATTGCAGAGTTTGGCTCAAAGTGTCTGAGAAAATTTTGTCTTAAAGCCATCGAAGAAAGGAGTGTCTCCAAGAACCTGTCGTAAAGCCGCTCAGTTAATTCACCGAAATGCTGGCACCACCATGTCGTCAACCAGCTCCAGCAAAAACCACACCTAAGAAGCCCACGCCCACCAGCGGATCCACGTGTGTGTGAGGTAAAGTACACGCACCACACACAGAGTACGCCTCGCAGCATCAGTAATAATCAGTACCCTTTTCTCCTTTCAGGAAAGGAAGGATCCCGGGGAGGGGGTGATCTGGGACTTGTGATGAGGTCTTTGATGAATAATTATTTGTTACATTTATAAAACTCAGCTGATAAAAATCCATTAACCTTAAGGTTGTGGTTCACTTGAGTTTTTATACTTGAGGCTTTTTATTGGATGAATGCTAGATTAAAACCATTAATCTTTAACTCTGTTAAACAGTCTCTGATCCAGTTCTATCTGGAACTAAGGAAAGCCTACACTTACAGGAACATAGTTATCAGCAGCAAAACATTTTAATAAGCCAGGTGCCTAACGAACATTTCACTGGCTGCTTTCATGCGGGACCTTCCAATTCCTCTGACAGCAGGAGAGCACCATTCACGTAGCGGGCGGCCCCTCGTTCATTTGAACACACGCTTGGCATCCAGCGTGGCTGTGGCCAGGACCTGGAGGGCCAGGGAGACCTTGGGGCTGTGCTGGCGTTTAAGGGGGCTTCGGGAAGACGGCCCAGCAGACCACAGGGGTCTGCCTCCCCCCAAACACAGCCCCAGGAAAAGAAAATAGATGATTCCTAGGGGTTGAACAGTGGTTAGCCTGTGTTTAGGATAAAACAACTTTGCTGCTCCGTGCAGGCTGCCTACTTAAATTTAAGTTATTCAGACATCTAAACACTGCACAGCTGTGTGCTATGATACGCCGTTGGCCAAAATGCCCTGGGACAATCTGGCATTTCCAAGAAACACAGGTGGGAAGTCTTGGTCACTGCAGAGGGTTCTGGGCCTCTCAGGGGAGCTGGGCTGCAGATGGGCTGGTTCCCATGGCCGCCTCGCTGCGGTCCGGAGTCCGGCCAGGGGGTGGGGGCTCGGCCGGGAAGGGTCGGTCTCTGGAGCCGGGGCAGGCTGGGCGCTCGCTTGCTTTAATCATGCGGTTGCCACTTGCAACTTAGGATGATGGAGTGCGGGCATGCTGGAAGAAAGGCGGCGGGTTGTGTAAGCCTAAACTCCGGGGGGAATGTTATGGAGGGAAAAACAATGGCTCCCGGGCAGAGAGGGAGAGCTTGGCTCAGTCTGCAGAAAATCCCTCTCCCGCACCCGGGAGGAGCCTCGCGGCGCCTTTGGTGCCGACAGAAACGCCACCGAAATTGTTTCAGCCAGCGAGGGATTTCAAATTATTTCACAGATTTATTAGCGTGGTTGACAATATAATCGCAGCTGAAAGTGACAGATTATCAGCATTCATATTGTGACGAAAAGAGGCGAGAAACCCTCTGATGTGTCGTTGCTTTAAAGGACGTGTTACGGGCAGGACGGCAATAAAATAGGAGCGGGGCTGTGTGTGTGCAGGCAGCGCAGCAGGCTGCCGAGAGAAGACGGAGGCGCAGCCAGGGTTAAGCAGTCAACCCTGGGGAGACAGAAGCCAGGCCCTGTCCTTAGGAGCGGTGGCATCGATCCTAACACGGTGCCTCTACGTGACAGAAGGCTTTCCCCGGCTGTGATCTTTAAGGGTGCAGATGGTTCAATCTTTTGTCTTACGGGGAGCTGGAGGGTTCGAACTGCTGACCTTTGGGTTAGCAGCCGGATTTAACGATTGCACCGCCAGGGCTTCCTCAACGATGCACGAATGGGCTCTGGACTTGAGCCGTATCATCAGTACTAGGGTTTTGCTTCTCACTGCTTCCTGGCCTCGGGATTTATTTACCTCGAGGACAATCAGACAATCTCAGGGAGCCTAGGAGAGCTGAGGTGTCACTCAAACCCAGGGCGAGGGACAGCGACAGAAAAGTCCGGAGCTGACCCTCTGAACCTCCTCATGCCTGAGTCCGCTCCCTACCTACGTTCCCGCGTGTATCCCTAAAGCCATTCTGGAAAAGGCTCCGAGGTGCATGAAGGTGAGCCTTTAGAACCCGGCCTCTCCTCCCCGCCAGCAGGTCCGATGGCGGCGGGAATGATGTGGCACCCAGAAGCCCCCGGGACGACTGGTCTTGCATTCCGGAAGAGAAACAACGCTTACTAGTACACCAGGGGCTTCAAAAGTTCGTGGGGGTTAATTCCATTATCTTTGCATCCCATTGTTTCCACGCACTTTAGGAAGCCCCCTCAGGCAACACAATCTGAAGCCCAGTTCCCATTAACTTTGCAAGTTTCTGATCTGGTGAACTATGAGGAATGAACTCGGAAAGGAGATGCTGATCCCACACGGGCGCAGTCTCCGTCCCTGAGCCTGCGGAGGAGGAACCACTGCTGGCTGTCAACCAGTCCTAGCCCTTCTTCAACAAAAACTAGCAGTGCCATGGAAAGCCACTCAAGATGCCTCCCAGCTCTTGCAGAAACGTCTTCTGTGGGAGCGCCACCCTGGACCTCACTCGGTGACGTCACACATGAGGCTTCCTGGCCGCACAGCTGGGACAGGTGGTGCAGAGTGTGTTTGTGTCCTGTTGCCATGGAAAGAGGCCTCCCCCCAACTCAAAATCAGAATGCTCTCTCTCTCCACTGTCTTCACACTTGGAGGTAAAAATGCAGATAAAAAAGTGCACTCACCTTTATGTTGTCATCTGTTTCCATTGTGGCCTGGAGCTTCCCATTCACACTGAAGGTACAGAAGAGGCCGTTTCCGTAGAAGATGACACAGTGGCCCTCTCTCGAGGCCTGAATGAGCTTGGGTTTCAGGCACTTTTCAGGCCCCTCCAAGGTCCTCAGCAGGTCTCCGTTCATGGAGTGAATGAGACATGGTCCTTCTGACAGGAGAAAGAGAAGGCACAATTATTTCTTAAGGGAACAGACAAGTGTGATCTGAATATTGCGCACGTGTCAAGCAGAGAGAAGACCTTACAGACAGACTGCTCTTCGACATGAATGATTTTGTCAGAGTTCGCCTTCCTCTGGGGAGAGGAGAGACCAGGCCACACATGTTCCAGTTCTCTCTTCCTGGGGAAGCTGGAAGTTCCTTGTGGACCGAATTCCATTGCTGTTGAGTTCATCCAGCTCCTAGCGGACCCGAGGGGGCGGCAGAGTTTGAACTGCTCCGTCGGATGGTTTCTGAGACTAGTTCTTTCTGGAAGTGGGAGAGATTGTCTCATCTTTCTCCCAAGAGGTTGCTGGTGGGTTTGAACTGCTGACCTTTTGGTGAGCAGCCCAACGCGTCACGACACTCCCTAAGTAAATCTACAGAGAGATCCTTCCACAGCTGCTCTTTTACAACGGGGCTAGTCTGCTTCCATGCTGTCCCCAGAGCCTGCTGCAGCGTCCTTCATCCTGCCCCCGTGCCACACTGCCGGGGTAGATGGGGATGGCTGAAACAGCCCAGACCTAGCAGATGTGTTGTTGTTGTTGTTGTTGTTTTTAATTAAGTGGCTACGCAGAGCAAAGGAGGTAACAATAATTGCTTATGTGACGACTAAGTTCCAAGGGACATCAGAGTGAGACAAGAGGCTCACTGGGAGCATACACCCATGACTGTCCTTGCCACGTGGAATCACTGCCTACACCCCACGTGACTTCTGAAAGCACGCCCCGTTGGAAGCCTTGGTATACAGCAGTCCTCGCACGGCATGGCTCAGATACGCATTTAGTTCAGTGACCCTACTTTCAATAACACCAGTTCTCCAACCGCATGGTTGAAGTTTGTTATTAGAGTAACTGCATAAAGTATAAATGTGGCTGCTAGTCCACCAGTCTTTGGTCCACAAACCAGTATGTGATAACAGAAGTGTGTCGTGATTGGTGGCCAATCACATCACTTCTTTCAAAGGCAACAACTGGTCACTAAGCATCTGTTCGTTCATGCAGAGACAGCAAAGCATGGAGCTGTGTGGCTTCCTTGTCCCCTCATGCTTCCTAATAGTGAAGTCAGCTGACATTTCATACAAATGGATAATCGAGAGAATACTCCGACAAAAATGAAACGGGAATAGAGCAGAAAGGAGTGACGGAAAGCACACTGAATGTAAATGCAGGGACGGAAGAAACCACTGGCTAGAGGAATGGCCACGCTGCTAACCATTCACAAAACTGTCCATGTGGAACCAGGGAAATTTTGTGAAGGTGAACTTATTGGACATATAAATGAGGTAAGTGGTTGTGACATAAATTTTAAGTCCCGGAATTAATGCCAGCAAAAAGCTTCACATTCCAAAAAGGAGTCCTAGGGGATATTTCACAACCTTTAAAACAAAAGAAAGTAAAACACTGGAAGGGGGTCCAAATGCAGAAAGGAGTGTGACAATTTGCCAAGGCGCAAGACAGATGTGTGCCCACATCCTGACTGAGGCCACAGCAAGGCGGCAAGCAATGCTCAAATCATTCTCATCGTTTTCAGAAAGAAATAATGCCCTTCGATTCCCTTAGCCCGAGATTTGGCTATTTTTAAAATATCCCTGTACATTATTCACTGAGAATTTCTCCTATTTTGACAAAAATTTTGATAGGTCACAGGACAGTCATGCACTTTCATTTTAACCATGGAAGTTGCTTTGCACGGCCATTTTTACGGCCAAGCACTAACATATAAGACTACCCGAAATATGATAGGTTCATTCTGCACGTGCCTGGTTCATATTACAGGCAGTCCAAGAAGTCACGTGGCCTTCTGATGTACAAAATTATTCCGCATAAGAGCCAACAGCAAGTCCACTAACCATAGAATCTCCCTGCCCTGATTACTCCATCGCTGTTGCGACCAACTCAAGTTTCCAGCTGGGTCCTTTGAAGATCTAGGAAGCCGTCTATCTGGCCCACATAGCTCAGGATATAAGGAAGGTGACTCAGCTACTCTACGGTTCCGGTGGCCAGATTCCAAATGTTTCTTTGTGCTCAAAGTTGTCACAGGGAGACAGACAATGGTAACGGAATAAGCAATGACCTGAAGCAGCCCTGGGCTGACCCGGAGTTGTTGCACGTGCCCTTGGGAAAGGTGGCTTAGTAGCTCTGGCCTAAATGCACGGCGATGCTACTAGAGCAAACGTCTCTGCAAGCCGGCGCAAAGATCTTTTCCACTCTGTTCTGAATCACTGGGGTCCCTGCCCACCCCTGATGTCTGCACGTTAAAACCAGCTGGGTCCAGTGTGAGATGCCTTGTGGCCAGTTAAAGTCCATAAGAATAAACAAAATACCCTTGCTTCCACCTCACAGAAATGTGGAAAACTATGGGCTATCTTTGTAAAGGCTATCTTAAACTCTTTAAACTCAGAAGCGCTATCCCAAAGAGCTTCCATGGCGATGGAAATGCTCGCTATCTGGGCTAATGCAGAAGCCATGAGCCACACATGAATATGGGACACCTTAAACAGGGCTAGTGATGTTGAGGAAATTAATTTCCACTTTCAACAAATTTCGATGAGCTTAAATGGCCCTATGCGGCTAATGAGGGGCCCGTAGTGGCATAGTGGATTATATCTTACATATATTGGGCTGCTAACTGCAAAGTCGGCAGTTTGAAATCACCAGCTTCGCTGTAGGAGCAAGAAGAGGCTTTCCGCTCTCTTCAAGATTTATCGTCTGGAAAACTCCCAGGAGCACGTGTGGTCGGTCTGTCCTATAGGGCTGCTTTGAGCCGAAATGAACTCGATGGCAGGGAGTTTGGTTTGGTTTGATTTGGTCTGGCTACCGAGACAGCAGAAACCTCCTTGGCGGTATGCACACATTGATGAAGTCCTGAGCTTACCTTTAGACCCACTCAGGACCAGGCCCAGCTCCGCACAGATGGCAGCGCAGGTGATCTCGTAGTCATGGCCTGTCAAGATGGCCCGAGGAGTAGTGGTCTCACCTTTAGGACAAAACAAAGCAGAAGCACAAAAGTCAATTCAAGATCACACAGCCTGTTATCCAGTGCCCTCTACCCGGGCTTAAATAACCAGCAACTTGTTCCTAATCCCCATCATAGCTACAATTTGAATTATAGTTTGGAAATGTCTCCCAAAATCCTACTTTAGACCCTGTTTTAGAGGTACACCCATGTTACTAAATTTCAAGAATCCTTCCCTGATAATTACCAAGCACCAAGGGTCAGAAACATAGGGTTAAATAAAACATTCTAGACACTTGTCAAATACATAACGAAACCTCTTGGGCAGATGATTTCTGGACAGAGGATGGCAAAAAGGAAGACTTCAGCTGCATTCACACTTCAAAGAGAAGCCTCCTCCTCTTTGGGCCACCCCACTTCCAGTCATAGTGTGGCGAGGCTGAACTAGGCCTTGCAAGTCTTTACTTACAACCCCTTATAAGTCTTTACTGGGCCTGGTTGCGAGGGTGGTATCTTCCTGATCTATTTCAGGGCATCCCTCTACAGTTCCTTCAATGTTCAGAGAAAACAAACAAACACAAACCCAAAAACACCAATCAAACCACAGCCTTAAAAGTAATTCTACTGACAGTGGTGGAGACGTGGGGCGGAGACGTATCTGAATAAGCACAGATGTTTCAAACCTTCTTCTTACGTATATAAAAATGAGTCACCCTGCACTTCACACAGTTCCGATGGAAATAAAACAGAAGTTGGCTTATAAGGACCCCACCCCGTGAATGACCCCAGCACAGAGTAGTCAGTAAATCACAGTAGGATTCATTTGTGGCTTGATCTGGAACAAGCCACAAAGATGAACTAGACCCTCTAGTTAGCCCGAAGCATACTATTTTAATCCAAGCAAATCCTCTGCTTTCATCGTCTCGAAGGACAAAGACACAAAATGTTTATAAGTGGAACACGAGAGAGCATGACTCTGGTCATCACCTTGTATTTCCCTGATTTGGATTGGCTTTATAATAGGGTTGATTAATGATACTGTGAAATTACAATGGAGAAAATATGCCCAGAAAGTAGGTCGGAATCACCAGCTATGGAAGTCTGCGGAAAAGAATACATTGTGGTTCCATCCCCAGCCACTTGACAATGCTCGGAGCAGTCTCCCCTTCTGAGGAGGAAACCTGTTAGGTCAAGGACAATCTATCAGAAACACGCTGTGCTTTAAAAGGCCAAAGCTGACTGTCAAACAGAAAAAGACGAATCAAGCCCCCCAAACGGTTTTATCAACATCTAAGGTAGGCTCAGTGGGGCCTAGGCACGTCATATAGGATATTCATATGTGCCTATGTTTTCCTAGGGGCAGAGGGTAGAGAGCAATGGTTTTCACTGAACGTACAAGGTCCATGACCAGGAAGGTGAGGGACTTACCATGAGGGCAAGGGCCTGGTCTCTGAGGATGAACCCATGGTCGGGTCATGGCTGCCTTGCAATGCCCCCAGGACGTTACACCCAGGAGCGTTTCCCAGTAGTTTTCCCTGGAATGTACACCGCACAGTCTTACAGTCTCAGAAGGCCTACGTGGCTTCTGGGGACAAGAGACTGCCAAGTGGAATTTAAGATAACGGAGCATGGCCTCAAACCGCACCGTCCTGGATTCAGGAACCAGCTCTGCGATACAGGGACACCTGGAGGAATGGGCTGAAAGGCAGGGAGGTGACTAGAACAAGGTGCCTGGCTTCATTTGACACAGAATTTAAAAACTTATTCCTGAAGGGAAGCCCACCGTACTTCGAAAGTTCTCCTGAGATTTCCAAGAACAAAACCTGTCATCAGAACAACCGTTTTTGCCTTTAAAAGTCCACAAATTCAGAAATCTGTTTTTTTAAAAAATGTAAATACAACCCAATCCGAATTAGTTAACCTCCACAAGAAAGTTAATTCTGCGGTGAGGAAGCTGGAAGCCACTTCACAAATACACGTTCGCCTGCGTCGTGGGCGCCCTCTTCTCCCGAGAAGCGCTCCAGTCCGTGAGCGAACACAGGGGAGCTTCACGCGGGGTGTGAAAAGATTGAATCAAAATGTAAAACAGATTTTCCAGGAACTTGTAAAAATCACTTCGACCACGTTATTTTCTAAATTACTATCTAATCAGATCTACTGTCAACTTTTTGCCAACGTTTCAGATCACGAAGAGCTAAATTAGGAATACATTTTGGGTGTGATTGTTCCTTTTTTGTTTTCATAAGTGGCCATTTGGGGGACGGGTGGTGGTGTTAGATTTGTATTTTAACTCAAATTGCCTTCCGCTCCTCAGTGGGAAGCCAAAGCTGGGAGGAGACGGACCTGACAGGCAATCTGGGCATAAACCCACAGTACCGCAGGGCGGATGGCTGGCAGCAGGCCCAGCGGACCCTGTCCAGTAAGCATGGCGATTCTGCAGGTTGGTTCCTAGGTTCAGAGCGGGTTCTCGGGCGAGGGAGGGGGAGATGACTGTCTCGTGTTTTTCCTTTAAGGTAAAAGATGAAACAGTGGAAGGTCCTGCCATCATAAAGGCAAAACTTATGAAGCTCCATGGTCACCCTGAAGAAGCAGGTTAAAATAGAAGCATTCATCCTGCGCTCTCATCAGGCTGTCCCTAACTATGCTTGACTTGAAAAATACCCCAATACTCTAAAATATAACTTTTCTTTTCCTGCCACACAGTGCACACACATAGGGACAATATCAGGATAATTCAAAAATGAAAAACGATCCCCCACCCTTATAGCCTGATCTCTACAAAAGAACTGCTCGACGCTACAATTTTAGCTTCAAAGTTTGGCAAAATACTTCCTAATCCAGGAAACAGGTTAGACAATTCAGGAAATGCGAAAAAGAAAAGAAAAAACCCAAACTCCAATAAATGAAAAAAGCATAAGGGTAGATTACAACTGTTGGTCCTCTCAGGTACGGGGCTGCACACCCAGGCACTGGGTTTCTCGTACAAAGCCCATGCTGCCTCCTGCTCCTCACCTGTAGGAATCCTCCCCCTTTTACACACACACACACACACACACACAACCAAAGCACACAGCATTCCCTGAGAAGAGCGGTTGCCTGTCTGGCTAAACATTTTTCTCCTGTACAGATCAAGCATTTTTTCACATTTTCTCTTGATCAAAAGGTACACTGAAAATCAGTACCTGTTGGGTTGTGTGCCAATAAACCAAGTGTATCAGATATTAAAATCTCGCTACAGTGAGTGAGTGGGTGCTGAGGAAGCAAGCAGGCACTGGGGAGCCTCGGCTCCGTGCAGAGGGCAATCAGGAGGCCGAGGCGCAGGCTGTCTCTCTGGTTCTCTGAGGTGGGGGTGCATACATCACCCTGGATTGCAGCAAGGCCCAAGCGATAACATCCCCACAGAAGGCCAGGCAAAGCAAAGACCCCCACATCTCTGCATGGTTCTGTTTGGAGAGCTGAGAAACAAAACCTAGGAAGCACTTCACTCATTCTCCTTGCAGCGTCCCCCTAAGCCTGCCCTCCCAGCACTGATCAGACCCTGCACCAGGGGCAGGGTGCAGTGGGGGCGATGGGAAGGGGCACAGAGCTAAAATAAGTCAGTGCCCAAAGCTATCACCATCTCTCACTGAAGTTTTTAAACTGAATAAAGGGCAGGAAAAAAGCCTTCTGAAAAATACCAGGCTAATTCATTCGCTGAAAATTTGCAGCGGTTACTGAATGGAAAGAGCCTTTACTTTTGATTTCTTAGAGAGCAGGATTCACCACAAGTTAGATCACCAAGCAGAACAGACTCCCTTAAGAACCGTTTAAAGTCTTGCTGCTTGAAAAATCGCCATGGCTTTCCATGATGCCGCGAGAAAAATTTATCTTGCTACTGGTTTAAAGGTCTGCGCTTTAAACTCTCCTTAAAGGAAAAGAAAAAGAGAAAGAGGACAGATTTCTAGGACTTCTTTGAAATGTTCCAACAGCGACTTCAAAGGCGAAGGAGCTCTTTGTCCTGGGAGCAGGTTTATGACTACTGATGCAAATCCTAACCGGAGACTGAAAAGGGTCCGCAGCAGGCTTTATGGATGGCCTTGGAGGAAGATGCACAAGTCAAGTGAGATTAGAGCCAGTCCAAATCCCGCCATGACCGCCAGGATGCACCCGCCGTTCCTGTGATGGGCTTTTCTCAGCACAGAGCACCGAGTATCAGTGCTAACCCAGACTAGCTGCACAACCCAGCTTGCACCGAGACGGCACACAATCTCCCTCTCGCCCACGGAGTGTTGATCCTGAGCCTGTGCTTTAAAAGAAACACGGTGACAGATATCAGCACCATCGGTGCTGCGGTGAATGTTTTTACTGAGTGTAACGTTTTGGTGCCCTCATAACATCAGGTATATTTCCCCATCATATGGATTCAGGACCACTTGCAGTTACAGCAGAAAGTAGAGTAAATGGTAATTTCTGTAGGATCGTGCTCACAAAGAATAAGGAAAGTATTATTTCAAAATGTCTGTTTCCTTTAAGGCAAAACAGACGAATAGTCCTGGCACAAAGAGGCTTGGCAGTCATTGCTGGCAAATTTTTAAGTTACGTTGTACACAGTGAATGTTCTTGGTATTTTGGGGACTCTCCCCAAAGTTTAGGCCCATGAACTCACTGTGACTGTACTGCACGATGCTCGCTCGCTCCTCGCACCACCCACTGCCATCGCATCAATTCTGACCCTTAGCGAGCCGACGGGGCAGAGGCGCACTGCCTGCGGGAGCGAACTCTCTCTCCCTCCACAGGAGTCACAGCCTCCTGCTTCTCCCGCAGAGAAGCTGGTGCCTTGGAGCCGATGACGTCACGGTTAGCAGCCAGATGCTTAGTCCCCTATGCCACCAGGCTGAGGTAAGCACCTTGTTTTGTTTTAGCAGACAGTGAATCCCTTTCATTAACTCGCCCTGTTTTCAATACCATTGATTAAGAGATGAAGTGGGTTTCAACCCTTTGCCCTTCTTTTTTTGTTATTTTAATAAATCATTTTATTGGGG